CCGTCGCGCAGCGCCATAAAAGGACGGTGGGGGCTAGAGGTCACCAGTAACCGCCAGCCCCACCCCGAAGTTCCTAACCCTAGACCGATCGAGAGGGGTGCTATGAGTGACGGGAAGCCCCATCGCCTTCACCGCCATCACTGGTCCGCGCTTACGCTGCTGATATAGTCGATGACCTAGCGAGCGCCTACACGACTTCTCCTACTCCGACACGTCGCGGCCACCGTGACGGTGGCGCCATGGCAGCGACTGTATGTGGCGAGGTATATCACCAAGCCTATCTAAGTTAAGCAATTTACCCACAGATCTGCACCTAGAGGTTCCAGAAATCCTATCAATGGTATCAGAGCCAGGTTAGGCGTAGATCTAGCTCTTGGAGTAGATCAAAACAAGAAAGAGAAGGAGGGGACTCGAGCTGTCAATCGGATTGAACCACAAACCCCTAACCTAACCCTAGAACGAATGGATGGAAGGGGGATAGACCTACCCGGTTTCTTTTCTCGTCGCCGTCACCATCGCCGTCGTGCGAGAAGGAGCTCCACCGCCGCCTCATCGGCATGCGGGGAGAAGCCGAGCCGCGCACGTCGTCGTGAGCACGAGCCCCGGCCGAGGGCACCATCACAGGACCGCTCGACGGCGGTGCGCTCACCCATTGGGGAGCGCGCGCTCCAGCGAGGGGACCCACGGCGGCGCCGGACAGATCTAGGATTTAGGACGAGCCCGCCGAAGCGTGTGGTGGTTTAGGGCACCGTCGCCCAATTCGTTTGACGGTGGCGTACTCAGCCTAGGGTGAGCACGCGCGCCGGCAAGGGGATTGGCGACGGCGCTGCTCCTTACTCCTCTTCTCCAACGGCGCCGCGGGCGGCTATCAGAGCTGCTGCGCTGACCAGAGAGAGAGAGAGAGCATATGAGAGAATGAAATTACGGTTAGGGCGCTCAGCCACGGCGAGGCTTTTTATTTCGTTGAAGAGCGCGGATGGCCGTCGGATGACTGCGAACGGTTGCGATTCGCTGGACCAAGTTTTGGCCTAGGCGAGATTAAGAAATCCCAGCCCAGGTCCAAGTTGCGGCCTGGGACACGGGGGAGCGCAGTGCGAGTGGCCGCCACGTGTTGATTTCGCCTGCTAGGCCACGGGAAAGCGGTGCAGCGCGCTGGGCCAAGCGCGGGCGCGATTTCATCGCTGGGCCACGGACTGTTTCCCTAGGCCGGGCTGAATAAACAGCAAACGGTTTTATTATTTTCAGAAGCAAATTTTGATTAGTTTTTCATCTCTATTCAATTTTGAACCAACGGGATAATTGTTCAGAGAGTAGATGAGTACAGTGAAATGCTTCTGAAAGGTAGATAAATTATTTTTTCATATTTCCGCTGCAAAGTTTAATGTTTATTATCTTCTAATTAAATTCGAACCAATGGGAAAATTTAATTTGAAGAGCAGTTATATTTATTTAGTAAATTATGATTTTATTTATGCTCTAATTAAATTGAAACCAACGGGAAAATTTAAATTAGAGGAGTAGTCATATTTGTTTATGTTAAATTATGGTATTGTTATTTTTTAACCAACGTTGATGATAACAATATTATAATGAGTTTAAGGTTGAAGTTTAAATCTCTGATAAATTTTACACTAAGATGGTCAATTTTTTAGAGAGTAGATAAATACCAATAAATGGTCCTGAACTAATAGAATGTATTTTATTATCAAGTTTCCGCTGCAATGTTGTTAATTATTTTCTAATTAAATTCGAAACAACGGGAGAATTCAATTTTGAAGAGTAGTTATACGTCATTCAAGTTAATTTATGAGTTTTATGCATTAATTCTATTTTCTGCCCAATGGTGATGTAGAATTAATGCAGAAGCATCTTGTAAGCTTTATTTTTTAACCGACGAGATCACTCAGCTGCATGTCAACGGGCTATAATACTGGGGTATGTGAATGAAAAGGCTTGAGTCAAGCCAGTTCATGACAGTTTTTTTTGTTAGTTTACTAATTTTCTGATTAAATTAGAACCAATGGAAAATTTTAATTGAGAAATAAAGTATAAGTGAATGTTTTAGTCATCATGAGTAAATTTTTCGTTACGGTATTTTGTATATAGATTTATCCCGTATGGGGAGAAGTTTGGCATAGTACTTATGCTAGTCAATCCTATATAGCGGGAGAAGTTTTGTGATGACTCATATGTTTTTTATCCCGCATAGCGAAAGAAGTTTGGGTAGCTCTTATGCTATCCTAGTATTGACCATGGCACAATAGAAATGCACCGTCATGATCAATACTAACCAAAAGATAAGAAAAAGATGCAAGCGTGACTTGCAAAAGTACAGTTAATAAAAGACCTCGTCGAGTTTTTGAAGTGGAATGAGGAAAGTGTACTCCTATACGGATTAAGAAATAACTTTATTTACATGGCATAATCATGTGAATGAAGTAAGTCATAAGTGTCTCCTTGTTCACAGTTTTTTGAATAGTTCTCAAAATTATGGCAGTATAGTTCATGCCATATTTCGAGGGGGAGAATTATGAGATGAATTAAGCGTAAGAATTAAGATCAATTAAGAAACTACTCTTCATTAAGAGTGAGATAAAGATGTTGATGAATGTGTACTCTTCATTAAGAGTGAGATAAAGTTTTTGATGAATGTGACCGTCGGTCATAACAATGATACCCCTAAGCAAAGAAACAGCTAAATTACTGGATTTTTTAAAGTTCCGAGAGGAAGATAACATAGTCACCATCAAAGATATAAAGGTAGTGCTTAAAGCGCCATATGAGGTTTTAACATATTAAACCTGATGAATGTGTACTCTTCATTAAGAGTTAGATAAAGTTTTTAATGAATGTGACCGTCGGTCATAACAATGATACCCCTAAGTAGAGAAATAGCTAAATTCCTAGATTTTTTAAAGTTCCGAGAGGAAGATAGAGTAGTCACCATCAAAGATATAAAGGCGGTGCTTAAAGCGCCATATAAGGTTTTAATAGATTAAACCCAAACAAAAAAATTTGAATGTACACTATCTTTTTTAGAAGATTGGATGATATGGGGAAGCATGGTATGTTGAGATCTATGACTTGAAGAGAAGCGGGACTACGTGCCCACTTCAGTGATTAAAACAACGAATTTCTCAATACCTGTTGATGTTGTATAACTTATACAACACCTGTTGTTGGCTCTTTGAAGAAGATAAATAATGCAAACAAGGATCTTGTAATATAGGAGCATGTAGAATCAATTGCCTCTTAGCAATGAAGAGCAGCAATAGTCCCATATGAAAGTGACAGTGGCTGAGGCCCCACAAGATCTCAAAGAATTAGTAACCAGTTTTTTCTGATGACTATGAAGTTTATGTCAGTGAAGAAATTCAAATGGAGGGTGATCCCACCTCGTTTGAAAAAGTCATAAGAAGCGTTTACTCGTCTAAATGGCAAGAAGCTATGAAAGTTAAAATGAATTCGATGAATATCAACGTTGTTTGGGACTTAGAAGAAAATCCTAATGGAGCAAAAACAGTAGGCTGTAAATAGGTCTACAAGACAAAATGTGACTCCAAAGGAAATGTAGAAAGATATAAAACATGACTTGTAACAAAAGGCTTTACGCGAAGGGGATGAATAGATTACGACGAGAGTTTTCTCTCCAGTCTCATGTAAGGATTTTTTAGAATCAAAATGGTGTTATTGGCACATTACGATTTAGAGTTACATCAGATGGATGTAAAGACAACATTCCTCAACGGGGATTTGTATGAAAACATTTACATGGCACAACCCAAAGGTTTTGTCGTGGAAGAAAAAGAACGTATAGGATGCCGCCTGTAGAAATCCATTTATGAGTTAAAATAAGTCATAAGACAGTAGTATTTAAAGTTGATGAAACAATGAGAAAGCTTAGGTTTTAAAGAAAATGAGAAGAACAATAACGTTTATGTGAAGTTCAAGAATAGAAAATTTATTTTCCACATCATGTGAATAGATGACATTCTACTCACTAGTAGTGATGTTAATCTGTCATTGGAGAAGAAATTTTGTCCTCAAGTTTCAATGTGAATGATCTTGGTGAAGCGTCATTGGTTCTATGAATCGAAATTCACCGAGATACAAGAAAATAGAGTATTAGGACTATCGCAAAGATATACTTAGAAAAGATTCTAAAAAAATAAAGTATGCATACGAGTAAACCTATGCCTGCTCCTATAGTCAAAGGTAATAGATTTTGGAACTTTAAGTGTTTCATAAACCGATATGAGATCAATCAAATAAACAATGTTCCATATGCTTCACCCCTTCTGTACAACGCAACGCAGAGCGGGAGAACAGCCGGTTTCAGCCAGCCGACGATCAAGGATGGTGGCGCGGCCCTGCAGCAGCAAGCTGCGCCTGGCCTGAGCCCGGCCAGCGACGCCCGGCGCTGGCCTGGGAGCGGCGGAAGGACGAGCACAGCATTGGCGCTGCGAGGGACGGAGGCGTCGCGGGGGATTGGGGCGCCACAGGGGGATGGCGGCGCACCAGAATGGGCCGTGCAGCGGGATGGACGCACCGTGGGGCATGGCGGCAGCAACACAGCGAAGCGGGGTGGGTGGACGCCCGCACGACAAACAAGCGCGGAGTCAGGAGACGAGTGCGGCGTGGGGAGATTTGATTTTTTTTTTCAGGTCCAGACGGACGGACGACCAAGCGTGAGCATTAGCGCATAAGTTTCCCTTAGCGCCTCCTCCCATAGTACTGAAGGCCAACCTCAAGGTTGTCACCAAAAAATAAAAAGGGATGTCAATGCTTGTTATCCACTTCAGTGGAAAATCGTCGATGCGCAAATGCCAATACTATTACCTATATATATAGATGGGTAACAAGACCAAATTGCTTGATACAAAGCAGTTATTTGGAATACAGAGGACTATCTAATCTAATCTGCTTATCAAAGCTTTTTCAGAAAACTTGCGACCTCTAGAAGTGTGCGTGACCACTTGTGCTAGATGACAGTGTGTTACTTAACTTGCCGCTACCAATTTTTGATGCTTCAACATTGGTTGAGGGGTTGCCTGACTACTGGATGCTTTTGAAGGCTCAGCAGAGCTGCCTTTATCGACGATACAGCAACTGATTGGCTTCTGAACCTTGCCAAATGACACGGTTTGATGAGAGTATATCTCAACGAACCTGCAGACATAAAGTATAATATGTTTTCAGTTGTTAGAAGTAGAGGTACACAAGGGTTCAGAATAATCACATAACAAATTATGAACGCATGGTTCTTGGAAACATATCTAAGTGAGATTTACAACAATTCTAATGGAAAGGCATACAGCAAGTAACATAACCATGCAGCATTGATGTAACCTATGTTAAGTGAGACATACCAAATGGGTAAACAGAAGATAATGAGGAAGGGACCTGGTCTTGAATCTAAAATGGATGATAGGGCTAAAATAAGAAAAAATAACCTGGAAAATCATCTGAAAGGAGAGAGACAGAGAAGACTTCAATGCTCTCAAGTATCAAATCGACATGGCTAAATAATTAGGAATAAGGCAGGATATTACTCGTAGGGATATGTATTGCCTACTGTAAAGAAACTAAACTTCCCTGCCCCCTGAATTGATAAAGCAATTCACTGTTTGTGAACGATTCAGCGTTGTTTCCAGTGGCCTATGGCTACAGGTCCAATCGCGGGGATTCATCAAGGCTGGTGTACTTTTAATAATAGCTTCTACTGTGCACTGTAGGCTTTTCAGATTTACAAATAGTTGATATTTATACTCCTACAAACGCTAACACTGAGAACATATTCTGCATAATACGGTCATTATGGTAGCTTCTAATCAAGTGTCCAAGGAGAAACAATGTATCCCTTTCATCCCTTAAGAACATTAGCACGCTGGTGTTAATTTAGCAAAAAAGAGCCAAACAACATGTAATTGGGTTCAAGCATACTCCATGTTTATATTTTGCCTGCGACAGAAAATTTTAGCTAGATTGGGTTCCTAGCTCAGCAGCTTCTGACAGAATCACAAAACAGAGGAAGAAAGGTGCACTGGATATCTGTGTTTCATAGAATACTGTGATGAGGTTGATGTTTAAAAGCAATGTACCATCACAGCAGACTTAGCAGAAACAGAACTGAAGTCAGAATCAACTTTTACATAAAATGGCATAATGGGTGCAAAGCACATAATGGTTTCTCTACAAATCTATGGATTGAGTAGATGGAATTCCAGGCAGTAGGGCACGAAGAATCTAGCATTTCATATTATCGCCAGAGTATCCATGGCCGTTGGCCTTAATGTGAGTGATCAACGTGCTTAAGTTGATCTAATAAGATAACATAGGCATTTTTCAATTAAATTGGCATTTCACATGCATCAGTACCATGAATTCAACATGTGGATGAATGGTTAGGCAACATGACTAGCAGATGGAATCATGCCAAAAATTTCAATATAATAGACACTGGTATGAGTACTTTGTAGTACCTAGTAGAATAAGTAGTGCTTCTCATGCTTGCTAAAGCTAGCAATTTGAATATCAATGGACGATTTCAAGAAGCCAGGTATGAGTCGTATGACACAGATGTAAACAAAATGAAGAGAAGCAATGGAGGGTGTAATTTGAGCAATATCAGATGAAGGTTATATTCGGCTGAATTTATCCACTGATGTGATGAAAACCCCACAAGGGATTTGGTTGTCAACAAAACACTAAACTTAAGACATTTCAGCAATGAACTAACAGCACTGTTCTTTGGATTTGTTTAGGTGCAAAGCAATAAAGTAAGGAATAATCACATGGAATTGCCCTGAAAAAATAATAACCAAGTGGCAGTTTATATATGCTACACAAATGGTGAAGAACAAAGGATGCTGCAAACAAACTCAAGTGTTTAACAAGAATAAATTACCTTGTTGCAGCTTCCGCAGACTCTAGTTTGAGATATGCGAAACCCTTACAGATAGGATCACGAGTTTTCTTATTTGCGGAAACTGCTGGATCTATAGATAAAAGGCCACGGAACCCTTTAAAAGCTTGCTTCAGATCCTTGTGTATGTTTTTCTTTTTTGGGAGGTTCCAGACACGAACTTGAACACCATCGTCACTGGCATCTGTTATGAAGCATAGAGAATGAATCAAAAGAACAAAGTTTTATGCCCAACAATAGCTCCTTCAACACTTATAGTGGTAGCTGAAGAAAGTGATGTCAATTTCAAATGATCTGCAAAAGGTAATGCTGAGGCAGTTCAGCTCTCTACAAAAATCATGGCTATGCACAAATAACAATAATAGGAAAAACATCTATCCATATATATTCTTCTGCTGAAAGAAAGTAAATTGACATCAACCACAAATTACTGAGGCTTAATCTTTCATGCAGACTTTCTGTTTCTGTCATTACATTAGGAGCTGGATTTGGGATGGAAGAAAACCTTGTCAAGACCATGTTTATATGGCGGAAGAACATGTGGCATCAATTTTGTCTAGTTTTAGAACTTGGAAGGAACAAAAAAAGGGACTATAAGCTCGTTGTTTTCTCACAACTTTTTAAGCTGTTTCATGCATGGTATAGGGCAATTGCTTTATCTAACTCATATTCAGCTTATTTAGTTCGACTGTGTATTTGTCCTTGGGAAATGATTATTATATGTACACAATTTCATTTCTTTACCGTTTACCAGTACTGCCAGCTTCAAATGAGTAGTTCTATCATTCACAATTTATTTATATACTTGTTCGTACTACCTATCCTTTCTATCAAGTTCTGGGTACGTGGCATATTACGGCCATACATTTCCGGACAAGTAGTTCAATAATTCACAATTTATCATATTTTGGAGATGTTCAAGATTCTGACAGTGGAATGGCAAGGACACATTTAGTTGTAGAACGCAGATCTTTATTTGCACGGGGGAAGTAAAAACAGGAAACACAACCATGGTTAATTGAGAAATATATCACACATTACATTTGCTTTCCAATGGTGGATCACCAAATGAGCGTGCGCACACACACAATACAAAGTCAATTTTCTTTAACTTTGACCGAATTTATTCGAAATGTTAATTTCCATAAGGAACGTAGATTATGACGATGTGAATGTGACTACATTCATGCTTGTTATTGACGACATTATCAAATTTCGCTGACATTCTTTAGTGCTTTATAAATGTCGCCACATTGCATGATGTTGTTGGGTTACATTTTTAGTTTCTAATATAAATGGAATCACATACGGCGGATCTTCTTCTTGATTTTTTTTTTAATTTCGCTATTACCCGACTGGCAAGTCTCATGTGCTCAAAAAAAGAAAGAAAAGAGAACGCAATACTAGTATATAGGGGAGAGGAGAGCAGAGAGAGCCAACCTGCGGCCGTTACATTGGTGGAACTATCCCCGGCGCGGCGATTGGCCGGGGCCGCCTCTACTCGACGCCGCGCCCCGCCCCCGCCGAAGCCCATCTCCTGGAGAAGCTGCTCCTCAATGTCAGTGGAATATGTTTTGCCCTCACCAAATCCAGAAGGCTTGGGCCGCGTCGCCAGAAACTCCTCCTCGTCTACCTCCATCTCTTCCTCGCCGTCGTCGGACTCCCACTCCCCTGCCCCCGTCTCCTCCTCCTCCTCCTCGTCATCGAGGGTGGGGGCGGCCACGGGCTCGCGGTGGCGGCGCCCGTATTTCCTCAGGCGGGGGAACGCGAAAGAGAGGCTGGACCAACGCGCCCGTGACGGCCGGGGCCGCGAGAACGCGAGCGACGCCGGCGCCGGCGCCGGCGCCGGCGCGGTCGCTGCGGTGATGCACGCCGCTGGTGGGAGCAGGAGTGGCATTTCGGGGCGTCCTCTTTATCCTCTCCCTCAGGCCAAGTTCAGTCAGTTCAGAGTAGTTATTCTTTTCCTGGAGGATGTTCAGTACTTCATTCTCGCAAGAGTTGGCGGCTTGGGCCTTGGGCGCACTATTCTCGTTTGGGCCTGGTTTACGTACATCCAAAGGCCATGGGCCTGGTGCCGAGCCCAACGGGCTAACAACAGCGGGACCTTAGCAACACGCGAGCAAGAACACAGATTATCTGCTCAAAAAAAAAAAACAGATTAACATCGATCGGTTTAATACCATATCGGAACTCTAAGAGGCCTATCCCTTCCTAATCCTTATTTTTTATAAGACGAGAAAAAACCCTCTCAATCAACTCCTAATATATCCTCCTAATCTTTTAGAACTTGGGATTGGGAAAAAGTCACCCCGTTCCGCGTAAAGTTATGCGCTTTCGAGTCGTGTGTATCTTCTCTCCCACGCGTGTTTGTCGGCCCAAAGGTGGAATGACGTGGAAAGAATAAAGAGTAAAAAAAGGTTCATGACGTAAATATACAAGAGAGAAAGAATATATAAAAGTGGTTAGGATAATTTAGGCCCCGTTCGCTTCGCTGAAAAAATAAGCCGAAGCATTGTTCCCGCTGATTTGTTGGGAGAGGAAAACACTATTCCGATTGAAAAAACAAGCTGAAAAGATGGATTATAAGAGAAGCGAATAGGGCCTTAGAAATAGTATAGGATTCCTGATGTAAAATTGTCTTCTATATTTTAGAAGTGGATTATTAGAAACTCTTGGAGATAGTCTTCTTTATTCCTTACAATACTTTTTTAAAAATTATAAAATGCCGTGTTTTTTGAAAGAAAATATTGGGTGCTTTGAAAATGCTCTAAGCATGCTTGCACCTAGGAGCAGCTGCAAAATGAGCCCCAAGCGCAACCTTGATACATAGGGTCTATAGTTGATAAAAAAGGGTTATGGCCTATGTTAGCATCTTCCATTGCACTTGGAAAAGAGCGCTTGCCTACACTCTCCTAACGAAGAGTGGACGTCATAATCTGTGAAAGAGCGGTACGCGTATGCGTGACCCCTACCAATTATTAATATAAATATTAAATATTTAAGAAATACAACCAATTTTTTAATCAAAATATTTGAGAAATACAACCATTTTTTCTTAATATAATATATAATTATATGGGTCCTAATTTGTGAAAGAGGGGTAAGCGTTCGCAGGGCCCTACCAATTATTAATCTAAGTATTTGAGAAATAAAACCAACTTTTTTCTTAATATAATATATAATTCCATGGGTCCACTAGGGCAAGTAATTATTAACCTAAATATTTGAGAAATACAACCAATTTTTTCTTAATATAAAATAAATATAATATAGGTCGACTAGGGTGAGTCGCCGTTGTCGATTGGAAGGACTTTTCAATGGCCATCTTGTTTTGTTCTTGGTTTTCTAGATTGGCCAACCGATAAATGCAAAAATAAAGAGAGTTAAATGTAGCTTGTTACGGCAGCAACAAGTAAAGACATCCATCGTAACAAAGATTTCACAACTAAAAGTTTTTTGCTTCAACTTGAGAGTTGACAGATTCTAGTTAAGCTTCAAGTTTGCGTAGTCGTCGTTCTGTGCAGGGTTTTATCCGTGGCATTCGTCAATGAGACCTTCTCCACTATTTGAAGCCTTGTGAACCCAATGTAAACCTGCTGGAATAATCTACACTCATGACTCATGAGCAGCATCTTTCTCAACGTACTTCCAGTATTCATTCACTGTGTTATTGCTCCGTAGGTATATGTTGAGGGCGCGGCCAGGGGCGGATCCAGAACGGTGCTGCGTCCCGGGCTGAGCTGCTGATTCACGTTCAAAACAGTCTGATCTTGCTTCCTAGGTCTCATTTTGTCTAATTAAGATCATAGTTTTTTAGGTTAAACACCACATATGTTAAAGGAGCTACATGGACTCGCCCCGGGCTGCAGCCCGGGCCCTGGATCCGCCCCTGGGCGCGGCGGTACAAGTGGTCGCAAGACAAATAATTATGGGCAGGGCAGCTGATGATACTTACTTCGGTAGTGCCAGCGACCGGGCGGACGTACGCGTCTGCACTCCGTTTCACACGTTCAACACGGGGACCTGCACCGCCCGACTCTACACGGGACCGCTCGCACCCCCTCCGTTTCCCTCGTCCGGACGTCTGCGCCCGCTCAGCGGCGCACCAGTAGTTGCAGCCGACGCTACGGCAGGTAAGTCTCGTTGCAACATGCGCAACACCAGATCTAGTTGTAACAGAACCGTCCAATTTATACAAGATCAAGTACGGCTGTCCCCGCTAACACGTTGACACGCACCTACTTTCACTTATATAAACCCGGTAGTCCGCCGAGTGTCCCGAAAGACCTCGGTAAATCAACATCACAACCAAGATCGCGTGATTAAGCAAATACACATCACATACGCAGAGTTGCAGCAGAAATAATATTATAATTGGGTTCACAAATAATAGTACAAGTTTGGGTTTTAAAACCGATTAGAGAAAACAACATAGCTTTCAAATGATTACATTAATATAAGTTCCAAATACATTGCTAGCATAAGTGACATCCTCAGACAAAAGTATATAGATGAGAAGTAAATATAGAATCACCGAGCCCACCGGCGGTTAGCCACCATCATCAACAGGTCGAGAACTTCATCTGCAACAAGGTGGGATAAACCCTGAGTACTCGAATGTACTCAGCCAGACTTACCCGTCGTAAACCAGAAATAAAGTGACACCAAGGATTATGCAAGGCTTTCTTTAGTGAGCTAGCTGACTTATTTACGAAAAGCATAAGTTATCATAAAGACATCATTTTAAATACTTTGCATCATCTTTATTAGGACCTATCCATCTAGGTAAGCACCTGTACTATAGCAATCACTTGATTAACCAATAACATCCAGTTACCAATTTAGATTTAGCATATCCCATACCATCCAGATAACCATCATTGTTCCATAATAATTACTACGATGCCGTAGCTCGAGTCAAGTGCTCACTATCCAGGAGCGATGGCGATTCGAATCGATTCCTAACCAGCTGGTGATTTATTCCTCACACAAACCACACTCACCGATCAAGTGAGCTACAGATCACCAATGACACTTTTCAGACAACCGCGGGACAATCTGGAGCCGCAGTACCCAGGGACCGCCCGACTGCCAGGAATCAGGGCGCACCTGCCCTTGGGCTCACTCTTCGCGTCCCTGTCATACCCCCATCAGCACCAATACGCGCACCCGTGTAGATCCCGGCCCGAATAGTGCCACTAGCTTCGCGGTCGAAAGGTACTTTATTCGGCCAGCTAAATGTGAGGCATGCGTTCAACATGACAAGAGGGACGAGCAACGATCGGTCCTTAATCGACAAAGACGGAAACTAACAGCACCCCAGAACCCTGTCTGGTTGCCTCCAACTTTTCCGTCCGGTCTCCAATTATCCATCACACATGGTTAATTCCAGGATATCATTCTTTCCATAGCTAAATTCTTCCAGTAACCACCTATAATGTAGGTGACCGGATATCACCGATCGCTACCGGTCTAAGTAAGGCTAAGCAGTTATTCGATCCTGACCTAACAAGGTAAAAGGTAATAAGGTAGGCAAGGATAGTAATAAATGCATCAACGGTTTCAATCAACTCCTACAACTTAATGCAACAATATATAAACTCATATATATAGAAAGAATTGCTTTTATAAATTAGGAGACTTATAATGCTCCGGGGTTTGCCTGGGATCCAACACTAGTCAGTTCAGTTAGCTTGCACCGTCTTGGTGACATCTCCGGTCCTAGCACTTGCTGAGTCCTTCCATCTTCGGGATAGATCCACCAAACCCAAACTTCGAGTTCGGCTCCAACATCACGTCCTTCACGTGGTTCATCTAGCGCACCTAGATGAGATGCAAGATGCAAGTGCATGAATATGAAGAATGGTAATACAAGAGGCATCACATAAACATTCAGGACAAACACAAGATTATACAAGACATAGACACCAATAACTAGTTAACTAACATCACACAACTAACTATAGAGAGCAAGCACATCAAGCATGACACAAGTTTAACAAGGTCACAAGTATCATAACTTGACCATCAACAAGGGCATAAGCTACACCTAGCAACACATAGGGTAAACAACCACAACTAGCATATGTCTATTTCTGGACTGGAAACAACAGCTTCATGTTTTGATCATAACTAGAGTTATACAAATCCAATAGACATACAACAAGACATTCTAGAAAGCTTATGAAATTTTCTACAATTCATCTTTAATCATCTTAGCATGATTCTCAAGTTAACTAAGTCAAATATACCCATTTACAGAAACTGGTCTAAACAAGACAGAGAGCAATCAATTCTGTAACCCAACTTTAAACAGCTGTAACTCTTAAACTACTTGGCCAAATGACACCAAATTTTAACAGAAGCTAGATACATGAACTATCTACAACTTTTGTATAACCAAGTTTCACAACAAAGCACATTATCATGAAGAACTTTGCTAAGTTCTCAGATCTGTCCATAAACCACATCGGCAGGAAAATAATACACTAGTTTTGCAACACTTGCAATATAGTTTGAAACAGCTGAAACACCTGCGACATATGTCTGAAACACTTGCAAAAACACATAAAAACACATGAAACCCGTTGCAAACATACGCAACATCTAGATAAAACAATTACAACATACCTCTAAAACATCTTAAATACTTGAAACACATGCGCTTCTTCGTGCCGTGGTGCCTTCGAACGACCGCGGAGACGATGCCCCGGCCGGCGATGACCTCCTGGTGGCGCTAGGTGGTAGTGGCAGGGTGCACGCCGTGGCCACGATCGGCGAGCGCGGAGCGGGGCGCGGCGGTGGATGGTTGTGACAGGCGAGCTCGGAAGTGCGGTGCAGGGCAGGATGGGGCGCACAGCGAGGGATGGCCGTGGCGGCGAGGTGGAGTAGGGCGACGCGGCGCAAGATGGGGGTGCGCGCGGGGAATGGCCACGACGGCGAGGCGAAGTGCGGCGACACGGCACGGTGAAGCACGCGACGAGCAAGCATGGAGTGGGAAGATATTTTTGAGAGATAGATGGGGGAGAGGTAAAGAGCAGGCAAGCCTATTAGGCCGGTAGCGCGTAGGCCCGAAAAGGCGACATCCGGACTGACGGACACCTTAACCCCTGTATTCAAGTACTTACTTAGTTACTTCGTGTTTTCTCTTCTAACTGACAATAGAATTCACAGCAAGACATGTACTCTCTTTTTTTTTTTACACGACATTATTTGGTCCACATATCTAATAAATCCCCTAACCCCTATTCCAAATTATATTTTGGCTTTCTCGTAACCAAAGTTTATAGAAATACAACATCAACAATACTACCTCCAGCCTAAAAGATTGACACTCTAGCTTCACCATTAAAACAAACTATTTTAAGTTCAACCAAATTTATAGAGAAAATTATTGATATTTATGTACCAAATAGGTACATAATAAAATAAATATCCCATGATGAGTCTAATTTACGCTAACTTGGGAGTAATATAACTATTGGTATTTTTTTATAAACTTGATCCAGCCTAAGGGGGTGTCAGATTAGCTTTCTAAATTCTGAGCCTATTCGGCTGCACTAGCAGCAGGTGGCTGCGGTACTGCTGCTTTCGTTGCAGCGAACCGAGTCTTTGGCAGTACATTTATTTTTAACTTATAGGTGATGTCAATATTTTTCTAAAACTTAATCATAGTTTTGATGTAGGATTAAGCCAGAGCGAACTACTAAAACGGAGGAAGTATTATATGATCATAACCATTATTTTGGATAACCCATTTGGTACTTTATTAAGCAACAAATCTGGCCACAAGACGTATAGTCTAGAAATGATGCTCAATTACTACTTATTTATTGGTCCACCTTTGACATTATATTAGCTACAAAAACAAATTAGTCCATCAAGTTCATGGATAAATTCGGGGCCGTAGCTAATCAAATGCACATGCTTTGTAAACTGTATCTAGTTGTGTCTATGTGTTTTCCCATCCACCATTCAGATTGCTCATCTGTCATACCTTCATTAATATAGAATTTGGCTTCTAGGTTTTGATCTTACCAAGTGGAATTTATTAGAGAACTTTTTCCCATACGTTTGTAAGCTGAAACGCTGCCGCGTGACTATTCTTGACAAATGACAATGATTGAACAAAATCAATGGGTTTTCCTTTTGTTTTTATGACGTCTTGTTATAAGGGTTGACTTAAAAGCTCAAAAGGAATAATAAGAGTAAGATAAGTCATGAAATATAAAAGACCAAAGATAAAAGTTACCTAAACAGATATTCACAGCTCTTCAGATAGAACTCTCAGGATTATATATTCAGAGAGATTTGCACGTTGAGTTTTGCCACAGGAGACTGGACACGACTTCATAATAAGAACCCAAAAGGCCAAGCTAAGTTTCTCAGACGCGGAAACGCAGAGCTAACAGATGCGTATCATCTCGCTAAAAGGTGAACCCCCTGACCTAGTCATTGGCAACTAACTCTTCGTTTCTATTTTCTACCCTCTGAAGGACAAGTTCCTTCTGCGGAGCAAGTCCTTTTGCGATCGCCGCAGAACCTACATCCACGAGGACAGTGTCGTCTTCTTTGAAATCGCCCTTCAGGACACCTAGGGCAATCTCGTTCTCCACCATCTGCTGAATCACTCTCTTGACAGGCCTCGCACCATAGTTCGGGTCAAAGCCAAGAGACCCCAGAAGCTCAACGGCTTCTGCAGTGTATTGGAGATGAATCTTCTGTTGTTTCAGCCGGTTCTTAACCCGATTCAACTGCAAGTAAGGAAACCATTTCAAATTAAAGAGCAGGCTACACAAACTATGTGCAAATGTGGAGAAATAACTTAAGGTTGATACTATGGTTTAAATATATCTATCAGGCATGCTTCTAAAATGAATTGTTAAATGTTTACCTGGATCTCCACAATGTGGTTGATCTCGCTTGTATCCAGAGGTTGGAACACTATGTACTCATCTATCCTGTTCAAGAATTCTGGTCGGAATGTTTGTCGGGCCATCTCAATCACCTGCTTCTTCATTATCTCATAAACGACCTCCTTGCTGTCTGTGGTGTTTCTAAGTGTGTCAAGGATCAATGGTGACCCGATGTTTGAGGTCATGATGATGACACAGTTAGTGAAGCTGACAGTCCTGCCTTGTGAATCAGTTATTCTTCCATCATCCAACAGTTGCAACAAAACGTTAAAGACATCCTGGTGCGCTTTCTCAATTTCATCCAACAGAACAACTGAGTAAGGCCGCCGACGAACAGATTCAGTCAATTGGCCCCCTTCCTCATAACCAACATATCCAGGTGGGGCACCAACCAAACGGGAGACAGCATGCTTCTCCATGTACTCGCTCATATCAATTCGTATTAGGGCATTCTCAGTGTTGAAAAGGAATTCAGCCAGTGTCTTACCCAGCTCAGTCTTTCCTACACCTGTAGGTCCCATAAACATAAAGCTTGCTATCGGACGGTTAGGATCTGATAGGCCTGCCCTAGAACGGCGGATGGCGTTGGCCACTGATTTGACTGCAATGTCTTGGCCAATAACCCTCTTGTGGAGTACATCTTCCAGCAGCAGCAGCTTTTCCCTTTCAGACTGTTGAAGGTTTGACACTGGAATACCAGTCCACTTGCTCACAATCTCAGCAATGTCCATGTCAGTCACCTCTTCTCGAAGCATTGACTTCCCTGATTGCTGGAATTCAACAAGTTTATTCCCAGCCTCTTCCAGCTGTTTCTGAAGTGACAAAAGTGTTCCATACTTCAGTTCAGCAGCACGATTCAAATCATACTCTCTCTCAGCAGCTTCCATCTCCAGGTTCACTCTGTCAGTCTAAAACAAGATAAAGACAAGATTAGAGCCTACATGACATAAGGGGCAAAAAAATCAGCCTGATCAGATAGCTGGCTGTTGCTGTGCTGCAGCAGCCAACTAGCAACACCTGCAGCCCAAACAGCGGCAGAGATAGCAGGCATTCAGAAGCAAACAGCCAGAGCTTGCTCTCAGCTCTTCACAATTGCAGCCGATTGGCTGTATGGCAAAGCCACAGCATAACAGCGCTTGCGCTTTAAGTAGAAGCGATCAGAACCAATATATATGGCAGGCAATACACAGAAGAGTAAAGAATGCACGTACCTCTTCTTTAATTGATCTTATACGAGTCATCAAAGATTTCTCATATTCCCAGTGTTCTGAAAGATTTTTCTGCTTCTGCTTGAGAGATTCTAGTTCAGCTTCAAGCTTGCTCAGTCGTCCTTTGGAGGCTTTATCTGTATCATTCTTCAGTGAGAGCTTTTCCATTTCAAGCCTTATGATTTCTCTGTCTACCTCATCCAATTCAATAGGCTTTGATGTTATTTCCATTTTGAGCTTAGCAGCTGCTTCATCAACTAGATCAATGGCTGCACGCACAAATAAAGAATATTATTATATTAGATAATGAATAGATCAGCTCGCTGTTCACTGTAACTTATCCACATTATAGCATACAAAGTACCTTTGTCAGGCAAAAAACGTCCAGTGATGTATCGATCGGATAGAACTGCTGCAGCAACAAGAGCTCCATCTGATATCTTAACACCATGATGCAGTTCATATCGTTCTCGCAAACCGCGCAGTATGGAGATGGTATCCTCAACCGCTGGCTCACCACAATAAACCTGCTGGAACCTACGCTCAAGAGCAGCATCCTTCTCAATGTACTTCCTGTACTCATCCAATGTTGTTGCTCCAATGCAGCGGAGTTCTCCACGGCCTAGCATTGGCTTCAACAGGTTACCAGCATCCATCGCTCCACCAGCGGCTCCTATTCAGAGAATAAACAGTAAATTTGACAATATTCAGAGCACTGACTCCTGGATTGTGGTATAAGCATCAAATTTTGATAAAACAAAGCATCAGTGATTTGAAAGCACAAGGCCAGCACAAACCAAATAAAAATGAAACGCACTTGTGTAGACCTGTCTAATCATTAACAGAGAGCTTAGCTTCAACTAATATTTTCAAGTCTATCGATGTATGTTCACTGCCATAAAAAAAACTTGCAAATAGCCAAAACACAGAAGAAGTTAGAAGTACAAACCTGCACCAACAACAGTATGGATCTCATCAATGAACAAGATGATCTGTCCATTAGAAGCAGTGACCTCCTTTAGAACAGCCTTTAGTCTCTCCTCAAATTCACCACGGAATTTAGCTCCAGCAAGTAGTGCTCCCATATCCAATGAAATAAGCTGTAATTGCAGGTGTACATAGCATCAGAACATACAGTCTATTGCATTCTTGACACTAATACAACTGTGTCTACTCATCTGTTATAGTGACATGTTATTCTACGTCTGACTGTAAGCTCTGAATTTTGTATTATTTTTTGATTAATTGATAATCAAAATGCTTCAATGAACATCGAATATATATATCAATCAAAAGTTCTTTTTTAACAAGACCGGCACAAGGTGATGCCCATTTTATAGAGAAGGAATAATTACAGCCTGGGACGGCTAGGAAGCATGGAGGAGAGTTGTCTCTGCCATAGCACAGTCAGAAAATATAATTGCCCTAAAATTCAATTAACTAGACTAGATATGAACAGAGACATTTCAATACCCTTCTATTCATTAGAGGTTCGGGAACATCTCCTCGTACAATACGCTGAGCCAGTCTGAAATAAGAGCAAGATGGTTGATTACTGCATGTTCAAAGCAGCAAAGCATAGGCATACTATGAAAAAACTACAAACAATAAATGAACAGGTAATCACCCTTCAGCAATAGCTGTTTTGCCAACTCCTGGCTCGCCAATGATTACAGGATTGTTTTTAGTTCTTCTACATAGGATCTGAATGCATCTGCGCACTTCATCATCACGGCCTATAACAGGATCAAGTTTTCCACGCCGAGCTGATTCTGTCAAATCAATACCATACTTCTCTAGAGCCTGGTACTTTCCTTCTGGATCTGGAAACAGAAAAACAATATAGGCATATAAAACAGGTCATCGGTTATTATATTGTTATCTACTTATCAGGATCAAGTTAACTTTCTGGACAATACAGGAAGCTATATGAATATGAACAAAGTATAAATAAATACTAAAACCACAGAAGTACTCTGCCAAAAGAAAGAAACTAGTAAAGACAAAGAAAAATGTCACAAGACATACTCTGATCTGTGACTCGCTGGCTTCCCCATACTGCTGAAATAGCTTCTTTAAGATCATTCTCCACAATTTTCAGATCTTTGAAGAGCTGTTGTCCAAACTTTTTATCTGAAGCGAATGCTTGCAGGATGTGCTCAACTGACACAAACTCATCACCATATTCTTTTTTATGCTTCTTCGCATTATCCAATATCGACACAAAACTTGATCCTATAATTGGTCCGGTTGTATCACCGACAACCTACCAATGCAAGACCCAAATCTTAATAAAATTTACCACCTTAATAAACAGAACTTGTTTAGTTAGTTTAATCTATAAAATTATTAAAGCACACTGCTAATACCTTTGGCTGTCTAGAAATAAAGTCATCTGTAGCTTGCAGGACTGATGTGTTGTCTATGCCCGCTTTTGAAAATATCCTGCGTGCTAGCCCATCCTTTTGCTCCAGAAGAGCTTTCATCAAGTGCTCTGACTCCACTATCTGTTGTTTTGACAATCTTGCTGCATCAACCGCACCAACAATCCCCTCCCAGGCCATCTCAGTGAATTCTCCTGGTGTTATCTGTTTTGATCAAAGAAAATTAAGGAAAAACATAGAGATTAGGACTCAAACCAACAGTAGTTTGCAAGCCCTACCCATTGCTGCATATACCACACCCTGCTGCTGGAACAGAGATATTTGGGTCTCCTGTTTTCAGGGAAATTAGTATGGTGGCTGTTTAGACTATTTGGTGTCATCAAAACAGTACAGTCTTCGAAGATGCGGTTCCATCAGTTCGCAGATGGAAGCAATCTTTCAAGTCTGAATTTGCTCTACTGTTTCTTAAGGCAAAATCAAATGTTAAGAGTTTGTTGTCCGATTGGTTGATCAATTTTACCATGATGTTAGTCTCCTCCTCTTTTGACTTATGATCCTTGTGACTCCCTCTTGTACATTATTTTTTTTCCTTTCTGTATACATATAAAAAGAAAGAGATTTTACTCTGGAGAAGACACCCCACGTTTTTGTCACCAAAAAAATCACACTTGCAAACCTGCCCTAGCGCACATACAAATACTGCAAACCAAGCAAAGAGCTAGATGCATGTGAAAGCTATAGTGATTCGTGGTTGGAGACACTCTATTCAAGTGGAAACCTATAGGCTATAGTTTTTGTATAGCACTCTGATATGTTGTTTAATCACATCTACAAACGGATCAGCTGATTCTACACACTTTTGAAACAAGGTAGGAAACTGTTGACTCGTCTAATTAATAAAGAACGAGAGAATGCAATCACCAACACAAGATGGAAATACAGCTACAGCAAGACAACAGTCCAACAACATCAACACAGAAAGTGCCTAAAATCATCATCTCACCATCACTTATGAAGTTTGCATTGTGGAATAGAACTATTAACTTTACAAATCTATCACTCCAACATTCCATACTTCTGAAGATCAAAGGATGAAATCAGTGACACCATACTACTACACGATCGTATCACACTTATCATTATATCATTCAAAGCTATCATGACACCACGAATCTTTACGAATTTGTAGCAGAAGTGCAGAATAGCAAGCATTCAACGGTCCAGAGCTTTACAATCCAACCGTTTGGTTAGCCAAATCTCTACAGCACTGACCGAAATCGAATCGACACGAGTGGCAGCCAATCGGCGGCTCGGCGCATAAGAACAGAGACATGAGCAGTGGTGTACATAGTGGGCACCAACCTGAGACGAGGACGAGGTGCCGGTGGCGCTGTAATGAGCGGGCGTCGTCGAGTGGAACAGCCGGCGCGGCGGCACCAGGAGCCCTGCTCCGCCGGCCCCGACGGGAAACCGCCCCAAAGGCGCGGCCAACCACGCCGGCCTCCTCGTCGTGGCGGCGGCGAAGGCGGCGGAGGCATCACCCGCGAGCGGCGCGAGGGACCGCGGGAGGACTTCGCGGCTAACGGCGGGGGCCTGGCGGCGGGTGGTGGCCGCCGCGGCTGCGCGGGCTGCGCGCGCTAGCCTGAACGCGGCGGAGCGCGCCATCGTGGCGGAGGGGTTTGGGTTTAGCGCTTTGCTGCGGCGGCGGCGGCTGCGGACACTGGACTGGCCAAGCGGTTACGCCGCGAAGACGCCGGCTCGGTTATTTGTGGGGGCGGTGGTGGTTGTGAGGGTGCAACGGAGAGGGGTGGCGTTGCTTGGAGAAGGGGAAGAAAAAGCGCCGGCACCGCCGCACCGGAGGCGAAGCGGGTGGAAGGTTGCAGAAAGTTCTGCTAGATGCGGTGCTCGTCGACCTACGTGCACATCAACCGTCTGATCTAGTGCCGCTCTTTCCGTAACCGACGGATACCGTTCGTACCGGACTTAGCCACTCAGGGGGGCCACTCATCGGCGAGATAGAGAGGAAGGCGTTCGGCGCTCCCGCGCGAGTTGTTTCTTTCGTCGCATCCTCTACTCGGCAGAAGCAGCGGGTGAAGGCACCGTACAGCTCATGGACTGACTCAGAATTTCGTATCCAAATCTTTTGTAAATTGCAAACGCATAAACTAAAAAACACTTGTTTCAAAAAAAAAATAAACTGCAAAGCATTGATCACACGCTTCAGCTGAATTTCACCTGTAACTTCAGACTTGGCAAGACTGTTTACCATGCTGGAAGCTGCATATCTAGAACAAATTCAGGTCATCCGCCGTTGATCTGAAGATGCAAACCTATCTCCCAGTCCCAGGCTACCAAGCAATCATGCAAATGACGAGTAAGATCAATAATTCCATGTTTCTCGAACAGCAATCTTGTGTGCTGTGATCTTTCTGGATTTCTTCAACATATCGCCAATGAGATCAACAAATGGAACAGCAAAACGATTTCCAATAGTAAACAGGAAAGCATTTCTTCGCTCATAACCATGCTATATATCACGATAGCCACAGTTAACACCTGACTTAAAACATAGCCATACGAGTTAAGGCAAATACCACATAGTTGATATAAGGACGTGACACTGGAACCTGGTCGCTAAACTGAAAAAACAAATGCAAAGGGCATTTGTGATGCAAACTTGCTACTATAAACAACTTTGAGCAGGCAAATTAGAATGGAGCAATCAAGCGCCGAACCCCACAATTGCGGAAAATCTCACGCGAAGGCAGCAGACTTGATGTAGGGAACTGAAACCTGCTAGACCAGTTCCCAGTCCCCATCAAAGAAGGGGACGCCATTGTCTGCGCGGTCCTGCAATGGAAAAAATTTGACATGGTTTACATAAAAAGATGGGACCGTAATGCTGACTACTGTCGAAAATAAGAAAGATTTATAGGAACATACCGGCCTAAACATGTCGACGACAATATCATCCAGACCACCACTGAGACCCCTCTGCAGCCTACTTGTCCCCATGAGTTCGTTGTTATAGTTTAGATGACTATTAACAGCTTGGTGATCAATCCGGCCATCTTGTAGAGGGGGAACACCACCACCACCTGAATTACTACGGTCCAGTGTCTGCCTCGGAACAACAGAACCATCTATGTTTCTTTCAAAAACAGAACCATCTATGTGAAGGTTCGGCAATGAAGAGTTGATGCCTGAATTACTAAGTGCAAGGTTGTTATTCAGCATCTCTCTTGAGTTCGTGCTGCTTCCATATGCGAAGGGCACCGCTTCCTGAGTGAACGGCATCGGAAGACCGTTGCTGGCTAGTGATGCTACTTGGCTCTGCGTTTCATTTCCCAGCATGGGAATCTGACTGGATGCTTCTGTAAAGCTTGAGAGAGGCTCAAGCTTGGGCCCATTCACAATTCTGTCCTTCTGACCAAGCTCCTGAACATTGGATGATGAGACCACAGTTGGCCAGGTGGTGTTGCATCTTCCAAGATCTGGAAACTGGGGAGACTCACCCACAAATGAGTTGAATGGGTCTGCAGAAGAATGCAGCCGACCAAGGTGTTGTTGGTTGCTTGGCTCAAGAGACTGTAATGGCAAGTTATTTGTCGTAACCAACTGTGTGCTGTTTGATATGTTCGCAAATGAATTACCAGAAGGGCCAGTAGGAAAGCATTTGCTAGTATCCTGCAGTGGCATATGCGCACCCCTGATCAGGTTGCCATTGTTCATCCCCCCGGCATTGCCTAAGGAAGTGCTCAGATTGTTCTGGGTGTGTCCAATCTGAAGCGGCTGCGAAGGCAGCAAACCATGCATACCAAATGCAGGAGAGTTCATCCTTGCAAGGAGGTTGTTTGGCTGTGAATGGTTAGTGGTTGGAACTGGCCGGTATCTCCCATATGCATTGTATTGCCTGAAGGCATCTAGTCCCATGTTGACATAAGCAGGGCTTCTTCCTCCAAATGCAGCAGTTAGGTTAGCCTGCCTGCTTGCATCTGCACTGAGTCTTTTCAGATACAGCCGATACTTCTGCAAACCAACAAAGAAGGATTTATTAAATGTGTTTCTAATTGCAACAAAGAAAAAAAAAAAGATGCTGAAGTGAGCAAAGAAATTTGTTGTCTTTACAAGGACATGAACTGTATAATGTGAACAATATGCTTGCAGGTATCACTTTCTGTTTCTTTCAGAAGTTTAACAATCATGTGAAGAAATGCTGATAGGTTTGAGAATTTCCTAGATATGGTGAAAAAAAAAGGAATATATAGTTCATGTGCTTTTCTTTTGAAAGGAAATGGCAGGAGCTCTGCCTTGCATTAAAGTAAAGAAAAGAAGAACACAAGACAACATCCCCAACCCCTTATAAAGGACAAGCCGCAAAGAAACAGAAACTGCAACAAGAACCCGCTTTCAAGATACATAGTATTCAAGCTTAGTGAATAGATAATCATAAGTTCCAAAGATGTCACATAATAAACATGCGATGAACATTATATAGAAATATAAATATGTGGCCAAACAGAACTACGTAGGAATGGAAATCAAACCTGCAGATGACTTGCAACATTCTCCCTTGTGATGTTCTCGACATTCATGAGATCCAATATTTTCTTTGGAACAGCCTCTGCATTTATAGACACGAGTACATGCTATTATGATTCATGAATAATATAAAAAATAAGGAAAATTAATAGTTAACATTCTGGTAACTGAGTAACATAGTTAGAACTCTTACTGTCAATGCCAAGCTGGTTGACAGCTGCCACAAACTTTCGGTGTAATTCAACAGACCACACGACCCTTGGCTTCTTCTGGGTCGATGAGTCTCCATTCTCATTACTGTTCTCATCAGAATCATCACTGTCGTCTCCATTATCATCCCTACCCCTGCGGGAAGTTCTCTTATTGCGATTACCACCACCATTGTCACCTTCAGCATTCACCACCTGCAACTTCTTACCAGAATCATCGTTATCATTACCATTGTTCTTGGCATCACAACTCCTCCGCCTAACCACATGCTGCCATATGGTCCTCAACTGCTCAATCCGCACTGGCTTCAGCAGGTAGTCACATGCTCCATGGGTAATACCCTTCATGACTGTTTGTGTCTCCCCATTTGCAGACAACACTGCATGATGATACATGGTCAGTTTTCAGATCAAAGAGAAATGCAAACCCTGTGCTCATTGTACATTGAACCAGCAGAAATAATTGAACTTCCTGCAGGAAACTAATTGGCGTTCATTATGCCTGCAGACTTTTGTCCTTTCTAACTCTTTGTTTTAGTGGTCACATGTAGGGCATACAGAAGTTTTCATGAGACTTGTCATTCCACCAAAAGTAATAAATTCAATGGCCCATTGAACAAGACAAATCCTTTACGAATTGGGCGAGACGATGAAGATGAATTTCCTAAAATTAATGTAAATGGGGCCTTGTTTCCTCAACTCCACAGCTCAGCTGTCTACTGGAGGTAAAAACCAAAGTAACCAGATGAGTAGTACTATACAAGATCTATTCATTCCACAATGATTTTCAAGCAATGCCATTTTTTTCCAGATCATTGGCCGCAATAAAGGCACGAAGAGGAGTGGGCAAGCAAAGACTTACTAATGACCGGGAGGTCCATCTCGAGGCCCACAAGCTCGAGGAGCTTGAAGCCGTCCATGTCCGGCATGTGGACATCGCTGATCACAAGGTCAAACTGGTCCTTCTTCTCCCTCAGCAGCTTCAGGGCCGTGGCTGCCTGTCCAGTTGTTGTCACTGCGGCATCACAAATCCGGACAGGTTAGCGCACATATACAAGTCAAAAGACCGGAGGAACCCATTACACATGTGGGGAGTCAAATCTTCGTAAGAATCACTCGACTTCGAGGAAAGTTGGAGAGGAGAACATTCCTTCCACTGAAGAAAATTAAGCCACGGAAAACGGAAATAGACAGCCAAAAATTTGCACAACACAAGATTTACAGAAATTACACAGCTGGAGGTTTAAAACTTTTGGAGAGAGAAGATTATTCCAAATATAGTCGTGTGCCAACGCATGATAAAAATTCAAAAAAAAATCTTTAGAGCACGAGCAGAGACAAACCTGATTATTTTCATCAGAAGAAAGAAAATGAAACTGAGCCTGACATGACATTACATGACAAAAAATATTTCACCGTGAAAACGAACAGGGGGAAAGTGGGCCATAAAGTCGGGGTTGCTATTTATGTGATGAAGAATGGCAAAACCAGTAACCCAAATATCTTTGTAGCCTCCTTGATACGCGAACATCGAAGACTAAATAAATAAATCAAGCAGCAAGGAGCCGAATCGTGGATAATAAAGGTAAAAAAACGGCAGTTAATAAGGATATACATGATCCGATCAGAGAATAGCAGGAAACCAAACGCACGGGGCAGAGAGGAAACAGAGGAGCGAGAGGAGCATGGCATACCATGGTACTCGCAGTGCTGCAAGAGCTTCTCGAGGAGCTTGAGGCAGGTCGGGTCGTCGTCGACGGCGAGCACGCGCATGCCGACGGGGAACTGGTCCTTGGCCCCATGCCCGCCGTTCACCTTCGCCGCCTGCAGCTTCACCTCCTCGACGGTCATCTCCTCCGGCTCGGCGAATCCAACAGCACCTGGATCACCGGAGGTTCCTGTATGGAGGCAGGC